CATGTAAGAACGCAATATAGCACCAAAATGGAAGAATAAAGGCTATATCACCAAATTACAAAGAACGAAGGACTATAGCGCAAAATACCAATGACTGGAAAACCTAATGACCGACTAAGGAAACGTGTGTTCCCTGGGTTCAGCCGGCGTTTGTTGCCAACTTAAGCAGTCCCGTAGATGAAAGTTGAGTCGATGCAGGAAAAAGAGGGTAATGGCTCAGGCGGCAGCAACCTAAACTAGGCGACAAAAATGAACCCGAACGAAGATAACTAGCCCTACTTTTACAACATAAGTTATAAGTAGCCTTTTAGTTGGGCATCGCATTGCGCTGTTACCCAAAGGGGATACTACCTGCATATACTGTATTTTCGGGTCTTGAGCGGATTCATTCCAAGGAAAAAGTTGCCTTGCCCGCGCATATTCAAAACTACTTTTGTCTCTACGTCATCCTCACTATAATCAGGATGCGTACCTTATTTTTACTCGGAACTGTCCAACTCGCTTTCGGCAATCAGATAATACAGTCAAGCAGTCGCTCTCTTAAAATAACATATTTTAGCCTCTGATCTGATATAAAATAATTCTGTAATCATGCCACGTTCGAAAATGGTTTTTACCTTCAGCCCATCAGTGGCGACAACACTTCTGTGAAAACTCATAAATAAATTTATTTTACATGTTCTCGACTCACTTTTGAAAAAAATCAATAACCTACCGTGAGGATGCTGCATTTTTTGAGTTCGAATGCTGCCACCATCAGAGGAGAACATACTTGTCTCTTGGAAGTCAAAATGAGCGACAGTTTCGGTGAGATCATAACCCGTAAACTGCGAAGGATAAATAAATTATGCGTGATGAAAATGGTCCACTTATAATCAATTCCTGCAAAATTGTATAGCAGGAGAACTTTATATCGAACGTAAGTCAAACATCTATAAAACACGCGCTTTAACGCACGAAAGGAAGAGCGAAATAAGTAACTTGCCCCTTAGTGAGAGTTTACAAGATTTTAAAAACTGGTTGGCATAACGCTGATCCCAAAAAGACACAATTCATTGAATGTTAGTTGCTCAAGGACGACGTTGCTGATGCATATGTCAGTATCAGTATCAGTTTATTGAGGGAAAGATAGGCGAACGCCTTTGAACT